GAAGTTGTAACAACTTGCAGAAATACAAAATATAGCAATGGGATTATAATTTTACAATAGGATTATGGATATGGTTTTGGGGAAGGGGGGAGTGGTCGTTTATGAATGTGCAAGTTTTTTAATTAAATAACCACAAGGTTCATCTCATTATTTCCTACCTTTTCCTAAACTAATGTTTTGATCTCAGTGAGAGCTAATTGTCAAAACAACAGCTGGCACTTGCAGATGTAACACTGTTACATAAATATTTATTAATAATAAATAAATATAATAAATATTTAGCATAATGAGAAGTAGTTATATAACTCAACATCTCTGCACCCTGAAGTTAATTTATATTGTATGAGGTGTTTACTCCATTCAGCAGGGGCTTTATTGAATGAACCACAGGCTACTGTGGCCTGTAGCCAAGGCCAAGATTAAGAAATGCTGCTGCTCACTTGGTTATAACCTCAGGCTTGAAAGAGCTAATTTGATAGCTCCTGCTCTCTCTCAACTGTCTCTCCACCGGTAGAGCAGTCAGTACCACATCCTGAACTGACCGCCAACCACAAAGCACTCTGCCTCAACATACAAAGTGAACCCAAGATTGACAGCTGACAACACTTGATTATAACTCCTAGATGCATGTATGTTGACTAAAGTTCGGAATCCAACTACTAATCAGTAAATTACTGTAAAATGGCCTGATAGCACGGTATACAGTAAAAATGTATGTATAAATCACAAGTCAGCTGCCTCGCTGCCTGCGTGCAAAGTCTAAGTTCCCCACCATGTCCCCCAGGAGCACTGCTTCAGCTCGCTGTGATTTACGGAGTTTGCTGATGAACAGATAGCATTACTTGTTGCTTAAGTAACTGCTAACCGTGGCTAACTAGCTGCCGTTATCTAATTAGCTCAGTCAGCCGTGGTCAGAGCTGACTCAGTTACAATCGTCAACATCACTGAAATCCTACACAGTGGTCCTTTAAGAGTTTGTTTTAAAATACAAAACAGTTAATACATCTAAAGTATGCATCCAAGTATTTTATTTATATAATAGGTATCCAAACTTGATTATGCTAGAACAACATAACTTTTATTTATGTTTATATTGCTGTACTGTAATAGTAGTGTTACAGAGCAATGCTAATTAATCAGTTAGAAATGAAAGGCTGCTTTTGTTTACCTCTGTGTGAAACCAAAGACGTTTAAAGAATTACTAAGAATTTCAATGGTAAATCTCCCACTGTTACCATTGTAAACTGTTAATGTGCCATGCTAGAATGGAAAGCTTGACAAGCATTGCAACTAAAGTCAGTTTAGGAAAGGGTGAATTGCAATTAAATTACATTTAGAAACATATTGCAGTAGTGCAACTAAGTGTCCTAAAGCTCCAGGGGTCTAATTATGTTTGCAATGAATTAATTTTTATTCTAGTTATTCTCTTTCAAATCATTGCAACTCTAGATAACGTAGTTACTTCTAAGAAAGCGGACTTATGATTTTTAGCATTAATACACTGTGCCCGATCTATTAATAGGTCTCATGTGTAAAAATAACAGTTACACTGATGAAAAATGTATGAAACCTGATCTGCTAGGGTTTGTAAATTCATTAATCCCTGTACTGTTTGAAATATGCAATACAGCTGCCAAAGTGTACAAAATAAAACTATGCAAATTTATGTGATAGACTTAGTCACTGCTGGAAAGGTAACTTAGTGTTATAAAGTACAAAAACAGGTGTTAAACACATCGATTCAGAGATGGCAAGTCTGAGAGAATTTGCAGCATTTCAGAAAGTAATTGGATTCACCATGCGGTTCAGAGCATTCTTGACAAAAGTATGTGGGTTTTTTTTGAACGTGTCATTATTTTTACTTTAAACATCAAAGCTCAGTCTTGACCTTGGAAATAGTAGTTTTCAAACAAACCCAACTCAAGATCCACTTTGTAGTATTTTCTGAAACTTTTAACCTTATTACACAGTCAGCAGAGGGAGTTTGTTTAGTTGTCATGGAGATGGATCTGTTGACATGCAATTTCAGTAGATTTTAAGGTTTTTTGTCTGTTGCACTTTTTAGGACTTCTCATCCATGTTGGCTTTAAATGTAAAGCATCACATTTTATTATTGCCTTTGTCAATAGAACAATCCCAATTGAACATCCACTAACTAGCCGTTTCTGGAGCTTTCAACCTAACACACGTTTTTTATGTTTATATGACGCTGCTGTCGAATATGGTTGAAAGCTCCTGAAAAGGCCATTAAGTGGTCAAACAAGTAAGTTAATAGTTTAGAATCTCAGAGAGGCCTGGCGGAAAAGGCGTGATCTTGTGTCACTTCACGCTTATAAATGAAAAGGTTTGGAGTTGTTAGTGGGACGTGTAATTCTTCGGATATGTATTCTGAGTTACTGCCATAGTAATTAGCCTACATCTGAATCCTGAATTAACTCTTTTAACAACCGTTTCAACTGTGTGGGTCAAACATTTTAGCCAGGGCAGGTAACTTCAGCACAGAGCAGTAATTAATAATATCACAGGGTTTCATCTCTAAAAGTTAAGGTACAACAAATCCACGTTTGTATACTCAGCTGTAATATAATTTAGATGAAGAATAAAGTTAGTGAGCTTTGCATTAATCAGATGTTTTTGAAATATTTGGGTATAGATTGAATGAGACAGATATTTTCTATTCTTTTCAGAGCCTTGAAGAATTCAGCAGCTGAAATTGGTTTAAGTCCAAAACAATTTACAGAAAAAATTGCGACACTGTTGAAAGCAATAGAATTTCACAGAGAGGTTGCGACCCATCAACAGTGTTCTTTATTGCCAAAATATATATTTTAACACACACACAAGCAGACACACACACAATGAATACATCAACTGTCTAATACAGGGCTCAGTTTGTGGCTTCATCTTGTTTTATGGATGCAGGGGGAAAAAGTAGATAGATAGATGGAGAGATGGAATTTTTGTTTCGAGTTTTTAAGCAGAAGATAACCTGTGTTCTATCTATCTTACAATAACAGAGCCAGAGTCATCTGTCCATTGGGAACTTTTTGTATAAAGTTTCTAGTAGTAACAGCGAGGAAGCAACAGTCAGCAACAGTCAGCAGCTGGATAACTTTAGCTTAGCACAGAGGCTGGAAACGGGGGGAAACAGCTAGCTTGGCGCTCTGTATGAAGATCTGCATATCGGTAACATTAACTCACTAATTAACAAATATCTTGTTTGTTTATCAAACAAAAACTGAGGTACAGCGACAAGTTGTGGCTTCACATCGGGTTATGTGCCTGACTATTTCTTGGCTGTTGCCATTCAACCAACGGAGAGTCCAAGAAACGGTACGGTACATAACATTTAGACAGAGCTAAGGCTAGCTTTTTCCTCCTGTTGCTGTTTTTTATGCTAGACTAAACCAACTGGCTACTAGCTGGAGCTTTATATGTAAAGAACAGATGTGAAAGTAGTATCAATCTTCTCATCTAACTTTCGGGAAGAAAGTGAGCAAGCTTATTTCTCAAAATGTTGAAGTACTCCTTTAAGTTTAAAAATGTTTAATAGGATCTCCAACTTTCTGGGTGAATTAGTGTTCATGCTGTGAGTTTGTTTATATGATAAACAAAGTGATGCTCTTAACATATTTATACATATGATGCATACTTTGCATACTTAACTTTTTAATGCGAGTAATCCTTAATAAATATCTAAACCCTTATATTCAGATGTTCTGTGTCTTCATGATTGAAACCAACAATATCAAAATGACAAAAGTAACACAATGTGCTTCTGTACATGATGAGTCCTCGTGTTTTTCTTTCCCCACCAGTTTGCTGGTAATCCGCTCGAACCTATTGCTGAGTCCAGATGGAATCAGTCGGGGGTGACTGCTCATGCCAAATATCAAATGCGAGACTCCAAGTCTGTCTTGTATGAATCAGAGATGAACACAATATGGATGTAAGAGGACAAGAAGCAAAATGGAAAGAAAAAGAACCCCGGGCAGTCCGAAAGTACTTCTCTCCTGATGGAATAAATGAACAGAAGGGGTTGTGCACAAACTTTTGCTGCTACATGAATGTTTAAAATCACAATCTTAGACAGAGATGGAACTATTGGTGTCTGTTGTATTTCTGCTTTTGTATCTTTCTTTTTTTGTTTCTTGCTTCTTTTTCCTTTTTTAATCTATATCTTATCTATAACAAACAATCAAACTCTCTCTTTGAATATTTTCCATTGTCAGTTTTAGAGTGAAAATAGTGGAATCAAAGTGATATTCATTCTGAGAACTACACAGTGGTGGAAAGTTACTAAATACATTAGCCAAAGTACTGAACTTAAGTACATTTTTGAGGTACTATACCTGTAGTTTACTTAAATATATTCATTTTATGCTACTTTATATTTCTACTCCACTGCATTTCAGAGGAAAATATTGTACTTTTTGCTTCATTCATTTTACCGCTTCAGTAACTTATTAAATATGATGCATTGTTATAGATTAAAGGCCCCATAGACTCTCACAGGTGGCTCAGGTTGGAGTTGTGCAAAGCTATGCTGGGATTTAGATGAGATCATAATGTACTTGATGATAAAGTTATAAACTGCCCTGGAGAGTCCTGGGGGGAGAATGTTTTCACTCGTTGTGTACAATAATATGGTAACTTGTGTGTATAAAGTATTATCTTGTGATATTGTGTGTTAGCTTAAGATAAAAACTATATGTAATCTCTCAGGGCCTTAAAGGCTCCATAATTTTACAGAAAAAAGGGCCATTTTTCATAGTGAGACTTTTACTTTGGATACTTAGAGTACATTTTGCTGGCAATACTGTACTGTTACTGAAGTACAATTTTGAATACAGGGCTTTACTTGTAACAGAGAGTTTAAACTGTGGTATTGTTACTTTTCCTTAAATAAAGGATCTAAGTGCTTCATCCACCACTAGAACCTTTGAAATTTAGAATTATTACCTAATATATTTCTGTCCTCCTGTTTTGGCCCTTGGCAGGTGATTGACATCAAAGAGAAATTGAAGGAATCCAAGAAGTTCTGGTCCAACCTGCCAGATGACATCTGTGCCAAGGGCAAGCTCACAGAGTCTGACGAGGAGCAGTGCTGGAACAGCCACACTAAGGGCAGGTGAGGACTTCTTGCTACTCTTTATAACCACAGCAAAGTCACCCCCCTCTACGGTTATCACATTTTGCCTGCCAGGGATTAAAATAACCACACTGTGTTCCCAGATTAACACTCTCTCTCGAAGTGCAATGGTTAGTGCTTATATGGAGAACTTCTATATAAGCTCTGAGGCCCTAATACTCAGAGGACTCTGGCGTTTTCAACACCTCTTATCTGCAGCGGGTAGAGTATAGCTGCGCTGTACAGTAGATTGGACAGTGAGTTGTTTTCTCTGACAGTGAACCAGAGATGCTGGCAGACAAAATATATCTCCCCACCACTTTGGACCCCTCCAAATAGCAAAATAACCAGATGGTGCGATAAAAGACATGTTAATTATCTTGTTTGTGCCAGTACCATTTTTAAGCATTGCTCCAAAATCTGGTTGGTGAATTGATTGCCCAGAGATGATAAAACGTCAGTAACAGTCGGACCATGTTAGGAGTTATGAAATCATCAAATTCTCCTGTTACTTAAACTTAAGCTATGTGCACTTTTATTTTTATAAAACTTATTAAATGAAAAAGAAAATTAATGGTTAAATGATGAGACTTTAACACACGTGCACAACAAATGTAAAAACGTAAAAAAGACTGCAATTACTGCAGCAATTAAATTATACACTCCACCCTTAGGAGCACATCTTAACTTTCTCATGTACTGCATTATTTCCATTGCACAGCAATCAAATTGTTTTGGATTTATTATGTTTAAAAAAGACAAATTCATGGGCCTCAGACATGTTAAGGGCTCTCTCTCCCAACATGAAATAGACTATTAAGCCTGATTACACACTTACGTTTTGTCTGATTTAAGCAGCCCTCTTTAGAAAGTAGCTCTTGTAGTTCTGTCTAATTTCAGTTGGTCTACTTTCTGGGTTCTCAGCCTGTAACCAAAGATCATGAGCAACTTCTACAGATTATCGTTGTGCGGAGTAGAAAGCAAGGATTCAAATTCACTTGTTAAACACCCTTCAGTAAGTGAAAGAGATGGACACAGTGGCTGCACAAGTGGGGTGACACTGCAACCACACTGATCAGCTCCAAGACAGCGTGCCCCAGGCTTCAGAAGCAGCTTTGACAAAATATAACAGCATGATGAGAGGCTAGTACACCACCGTCCCCCCTCAGAAGTTATTCCCCACTTTGTCATCATGCCTCGTTGACATTCATCAATTCGAGATGTTCACACATGTGTTTTGTACTATACGCTGTTGTTGGCAAAGGCGAGTTGGGTAGTTCTTTCGTGAGTTGTGGTTGTTTCTCAGCCATTTTTTTTGGAAAACTGCTGAAGCCACACGCTGAAGATATTGAGCTTGACTGGGTGAGAGAATGTACGAGGAGGGGGGCTACGCACCGTGTGCATGAACAGTGATTGACAGGAACCAGATTTTTTTCACAGATTATCTGTCTCGTGTATTACGGTCAATTGCCTGTGTTTTCTGAAGTTGCTGTGTGTTGAGCGCTGTCAACCACCATACTGCAGATAGGCTCTTATTCAGTGTTACTGATGCCACTTGATAACTTCATTTGAATCATTTGTAGATTTAAATGTACTCTACTGTAAAATTAAGCAAATATGGACAACTTTGTTATCTGCTAAACCATCCATATAGTATGTCATCCAGAAGTTTTGTAAAACCTCTAGAAAATATTGCCATAAAGGGCCATTTTAAAAGTGCTTCCAGGGGATACTACATTTTTGGTGTGGAATTGTGTCCAGATATTTCCCTGAAGTGGTGAAGGAGGGTCTAACCAACCAGTTGAACAACCCAGAGGTGGATGTGGATATCACCAGGCCTGACACACTGATACGACAGCAGATCATGGCTTTACGTGTCATGACCAACAAGCTAAAGAACGCCTACAATGGAAATGACATCTACTTCCAGGACTCTAGTAAGTTCTCCAATCTCTCAGGTGTTTGGAAGTGCAGGTGGAGACAAGATAATAATAAACATTTGAAACAAATGAAGAGAGAAAAGTTTCTCTATTGATTTCTGAGACTGCATCTTGGTTTTGACTTGTGTTTGACCACACACATACACAAAAACACCCCTGCGGAAAGATGAAACAAGATCACAGGTATCATTCATGTAGCAAGTCATCATACAACTCCACAGGATGCTTCAGTGCCACACTGTGGCAAGGCTGACATTATTAGGAGAATAAATAGCTGTAGGTACGGTGTGACACAGACAATGATAGACAGCTGAGCCTGTGTTTAGGAAGATCTCCAGTTCTTTCTTTCTGATTCTGTGGATCCCATTCAGTGGACGAGATGGAAAATTCTCTGAGCTTCAAATACAGTGCCTTGCGAAAGTATTCGGCCCCCTTGAACTTTTCGACCTTTTGCCACATTTCAGGCTTCAAACATAAAGATATAAAACTGTAATTTTTTGTGAAGAATCAACAACAAGTGGGACACAATTATGAAGTGGAACGAAATTTATTGGATATTTCAAACTTTTTTAACAAATAAAAAACTGAAAAATTGGGCGTGCAAAATTATTCAGCCTCCTTAAGTTAATACTTTGTAGCGCCACCTTTTGCTGCGATTACAGCTGTAAGTCGCTTGGGGTACGTCGCTATCAGTTTTGCACATTGAGAGACTGACATTTTTGCCCATTCCTCCTTGCAAAACAACTCGAGCTCAGTGAGGTTGGATGGAGAGCGTTTGTGAACAGCAGTTTTCAGTTCTTTCCACAGATTCTTGATTGGATTGAGGTCTGGACTTTGACTTGGCCATTCTAACACCTGGACATGTTTATTTGGGAACCATTCCAGTGTAGATTTTGCTTTATGTTTTGGATCATTGTCTTGTTGGAAGACAAATCTCCGTCCCAGTCTCAGGTCTTTTGTAGACTCCATCAGGTTTTCTTCCAGAATGGTCCTGTATTTGGCTCCATCCATCTTCCCATCAATTTTAACCATCTTCCCTGTCCCTGCTGAAGAAAAGCAGGCCCAAACCATGATGCTGCCACCACCATGTTTGACAGTGGGGATGGTGTGTTCAGGGTGATGAGCTGTGTTGCCTTTACACCAAACATAACATTTTACATTGTTGCCAAAAAGTTCGATTTTGGTTTCATCTGACCAGAGCACCTTCTTCCACATGTTTGGTGTGTCTCCCAGGTGGCTTGTGGCAAACTTTAAACGAGACTTTTTATGGATATCTTTAAGAAATGGCTTTCTTCTTGCCACTCTTCTTGCCCAATTTTTCAGTTTTTTATTTGTTAAAAAGGTTTGAAATATCCAATAAATTTCGTTCCACTTCATAATTGTGTCCCACTTGTTGTTGATTCTTCACAAAAAATTACAGTTTTATATCTTTATGTTTGAAGCCTGAAATGTGGCAAAAGGTCGAAAAGTTCAAGGGGGCCGAATACTTTCGCAAGGCACTGTAACACGTGTGGCTGCATGACTGCTGCCGCTAAATTTTGTACCTCAACTCCATTTTTATTGCTGTCATATTTCCCTCACAGTAATTTAGTTTTGCATTATACAAAAGGACGAAATTGCTGCTTTAGTCTAGGACAGCACGATTTGGAGAAAAAGTCACATTGCAGTTATTATTATAATGGAACAAATGGTACTATGAGTCTACTTGCTTGATTATCAAGGAAAATGCACAAATACTGACATTTTGAAATGTGTATGTCTCAACTTGAACACAGTTAAACGATATTTATAACAATAACTAGTAAAGCAGAACAAGGGGAGCGTGTTGTTCTACAGAGGAGGCTGTTAGAGGGGGCAAATATTGGCACACTGGCACCCTGACTCTAAATCTGCATCTGTCCACTGCAGAGACTCTTTCCACAACCTGGAGGAGGAACTAGTATACATAAGAGTATTAGTATAATATAACATTAAATAAAGAGTATAATGTTCAGTTAAAAGTATACTGTTAGTAGCCTATGACAATAATATGTTTATTACTATATTCATCATAATTTAATATAATATACTATTACCACTGGTTGAATAATAAATCTAGTTATAGCAGTTTGATTTCTGTGGGTTGTTTTTATTTATATTTAAGAAAAAGGCGGTAGAGTATTGATTATCAAAATAGTTGGCAATTAATTTTCTTTTGATTGACTAGTCGTTCCCGCCCTAGACTGTATTTCTGTATGCAAGACAGACTGTTTTAAGGTGAATTAGTTTCCGGCAAGTCCTAACCCAGTCTGTTGCAACATAGAATTAGCTCAATAACATTTAAGAATCTTAAAACTGAACAGTACTTTCCTTGTTAACAGCTTAATAAAAGAACAGAAAAGCCACAGAAACAATCATGATGTGATAACTGTTGCAAATAGTTTACTGTTGACTGACTAATCTTACAAACAGTGCTTGGCCTGGATTTGTACTAAACTGAATGGAACAGGTTGAACTAGCAACCTACTAAACCTGCCTACTCAAATGAAGACAATCAGCGCCAAAACCCAACAGCGTTATGATGGTAATGCAATCACTTATTCGTGTGCTGGAGTGAATTTGGATGATGCTAGCTCAGAAAAGAGTTATATACAAATCAGCAAGTTGATTTAACAATTCTAGCACTACCTACTGTATATCACAATTATTATTACTATTATCATAATAATTATCTTCTCACTTTCTACTCGCCATGGACCAAAGCTGCTTGTGATAATATTATTTTTATGTGAAATTTGTGTGATTTTGTTGCTGCAGGTGACGAGGGCAGTAGTTCTGGCAGTGGCAGCGGATGCTCTGACGGCTGCACAACAGAGTTTGTTTTTGTTGGAACAGAGGCTCCTGTGATCGGAGCAGACAGAAGTGATGAACGCGCAGCAGCAGCAGCCGCAGGCAAGTCACTTTCCCGTGGACCCTCCCTACTGCTGCTGTTAGTGGCCCTCACACTCCCACTCTGGGCAATGCAGACTCAATGGAGATAATACACGAGTGTGGCCTGATCGCTGACTTTTATACTGTCCAAGACAGTATGTTTAACAGCAAGTTCTACTGCTGTTCCCTCACTGGACATGTACAACCTCCTGGAAACAAGAGAATGGCTTACTGTGTGCTATGGTAGGACTGGAAGTGAGTGCAGTGCTGCATCCTGCTTGTCCCCCAAAGAATGCTCGGTGCCATCACTGAACCAGCTTTCACATCTCTGAAAAAAAGAAAATGTGGTGTTTTATCATTATTCTAAAGTGGATTTTGAAAAACATGCTTCTCTTTTAGACCATCTGATCTGATTTTTCAGATAAGGGGGAATCTATTTTTCTTTTCCTTTGTATGATGAAGTTGTGAACACCCATCATCCTACTATTCTTGTCCCCCTCAGACAAAAGGAGAAAGTCTTACTGTGTGCATGCATGGAAATGATGTTACCTGACAAAAAACATTTTTTAGGCTTTTTTCAACGCAGGCTACACAGTTTTGAATTGGTCGGTACCGGATTGTACAGTGTTAGCACCTGGTTTCCCCTTTGGTCATATCAGTGTGGCTTCAGCAGTAGTTTTTACAGCCACTATATAGTTGCACATTTGATTATCTCTGAGAAAGTGCTAATGTACTGCAGAGAGAGAACTACTTTGCACAGATTATTTTTGTTGGCTTCATAAGTTTATAAAGCTGCAGGAAACATCCACCAATTACAGAAAGAAGATCTATATTTTCAGATCATTTAACTGATTGTATTGTACTTATAAAACAGTTGCAGTATGTATTTCACTGGAAGGTACTGTAATGTAATCTTACTGGTTTAGTTAATGGCTACATTTTTTAAATGTATTATTTGTTTTTACAAATTATTTGATCACCTGTAAAATGAAAAAAGTTTTTTTCAACAACACTAAGCCATTATACTACAATTGCCTGCTAACAACATTCAGTTACCTGATTTACTCTCTTCTGTTTGGGTACTTAACATGCACTTAAAGAGTTCACACTTGCTTTTTATTCTCAGAGGACTCAGAGAATATGAGTGCTATTAGTTATATGTTAATGACATTTCCATTTATTTACTTGGCTTTAACTATTCATGACTATGATTTATTTTGTATGTTTTCCTTTGTTTATATTACATATATGGAAGGTTACATGTTTTAATCCTAGTCCTGTGAGCTCATACGCAGCCCTCTGAAAGGCTCTGCTGGTTTACCCGCTCACATCCTATGGAGCCGCTTTTTGTTTGGCTAATCAGAACAAACACATCACCAGGCTACAGGTTATAGAAGTTGTATGTTGTACTAAGTTTTCCTAAAAGGCATGTCCAAGTCAGCAATGTTAGAGGGCTCTGACTACTCTTAAAACTAGGGTTACTTCTCATAACATTCATTCTTTATCTCATACAGGCTTCGACCTGTAACAGGCTCTAGAGGCTCAGGGAGCAAAACCACTAGCTTGCTCTCCACAAACACAACTCGATGGCTGAGATCTCTGGTAACATAGAAAAGGAAGGTGCCAGAAATGTTTCAGGCATACTGTAGAAACAAACAGACAGGAAACTATTCACTGTTCCACAAAAGAGGGCAGTTGAGGCAGCCACCTTCATGCTGGTGCCTGGAGGAATCCCATCAGCTCAAACTGTAAGCACCTGAAATGATTTCACATAGCCAATAAGCACGTCTCTTGTCTCTAAAGGGGCCTTCCCCAAACCCATCGCTGTAACAAATTAACAGCTGCTGTGAGCATCTCAAAGAGACTGTAGGTTTCAAGTAGCATACTAAAGCAAGCATAGGACACAAGAGTTTCCCCTCCCGGTCGCCAGCATGAGGGGAGAGTGAAAATAGCATCAAGCTACATCCTCCGAGCCATTAAAAGAAATGTCTGATGTTCTAAGGCACAAATCAAGTTGTGGGTGAAGTGTAGTGCTTCTTTGGTTCCTTCAAATGAGCACACAACTAGAGTAGACTGATATCTACATTGCCAAAATTTGCACCAGCATGACTGTCTTCACAGACAGCACTGTAGGCAAAATGTCTCCTAGGTAGGCTCATATGACTTACAAGAGAGACTCTGGAGCACCACAGGAAGCTCCAACTGCAGAACAGACAGGAAAACAGTTGAACTCTGTCGCTTCACTCCCTGCAGCAACCACTTTAGCAGAAGGTGACTGAACCACAGCCTCCCACCAAAACTAGCATGGCAAAATTAAATCACTGACGCGTAAACCTTAATTGTGGAATGCGAAAGGCCTCCAACCAACAGAAGTGAACTGATCAACATAAGGTCCTCCCCAATGTTATACTGTCCAGGGTAGTTAATCAATGCAGGGGCAGACCGCACATGCATTTCCATTAACCTGTATTTATGTACATTTTCTATTAGTGTGTTAAAGAAAACCTGGAAACTCCAGAAATCCATAAAAAAACAGAAGGTATTTACTGTGGGCTGAGGTGGAAAAACAAAATGCGTCAAAGTGCAATGGAAACAGACATGGCAAATAAATCATGTAATTGAAGCGTGTGACTTAAACATCCACTGCTGCAGCTTCTGCTAAGCTGAAGAGTTGAAAGATAGCGGCAAATAAGAACATAAGATCAATGTGGAGCGATGAGGAGACTGTATTCAAATTAATAGATGAAACAAACAAATACCATATTTCCATCATGTTTTCCACATGGTTTTCCATAGTTTAAGATTTAATTGCCGCTTTTTAATGCTCATTGTGCCCTCTCCTTCAGCAATAGTTTAATGGCACAGGACTGCGCTCTGTTTATCTCAAGGCACCCATCTTCTAATATTGACACAACATCAGTGGATGGAAACATGCATTATTTAGCTTTTTTGCCATTTTTCTGGTAATTCAGTAAAGATTTTCTCTGCATTTAGATGAAAATTTGACTAGAGTGGGGCTAATATAAAGATAACATGCCAAGAAAAGAAAATGGATGCTTGGTTATAACGCAATGAGCATTTTTAAGATCTGGGTCGGTGAATCCATTCTGATTGGCCGAAACAGCGCATGCAAATATCAGCGCATCCTGCGGGGATGACTGAGCAAGCCTGTTGAGCCCTTTTGATGTCAAAGCCTGTACGAGATCCACCTGTGGAGACTAAACACAGTTTACCCAACCTCTCAAAATCTAAAATAGCATTTATGCTGCTGTTTATGCAGAAGTTACATGGGTTACTCTGTATTGCACTTTTCTCCTGAATATTTTGGATTGCTCGTGTGTCCTCGGCCGGATCATGGTATCTTCACACAAGCACACCACCAAGCTGTGTTTGGCAGAGGTAAAAACCTCGGTCAAAACCTACTTCATTAGCAGAAGCACTAAATGGTGCTGTTTCAGACAAATGGGGGGTAGTTAGTCAGGATGGACATCCAGCAGTAACTATTTATAGTGCTGAATATTGAATAAAATACTATTAAAGTAACAGGCTGTCAGGCCTGATATACAGCAGCAGTTTTCCTGATCTGTTACCCAGGAGTACAGTCCTGAATAGCAGATAATTGCTATGAAGGAGGTTTCATGTAAAAATCATGGTCTGCTACATGGGGCCGTTGGACTGATGAAGCTCAGACTGACATTTCAATTTAAGCTTCGTTTACATTTCTCAGAGACTACAACTACACTCGATACAGGATGTTCTGACATTTAGAATTAAACACAAGTAATGTGTCAGCACTTTTCTTTTGATGTCAAGTGCAGCATCATACTTTATTGTTCCTTAAAATTGGATTCACTTGGACAGTCAGAAAGTTGCATTCAGATGATCTTTGTGCTTTGTTGATTCTATAATTGGTAAATGTAATAAATACACAACAGGAAGAGAAGAGAGTTGATTGGCAGCACAAGTTAGTGGGTTATAAATCACTGCAGTCAGACACAACCATATAAATTCAGTTTTCAAGTATTAAAAAATATTGTGGTATATTTCTGAGTCAGGGTGGGAAGTGAGGCGGAACAATCAGCACAGAGCGTGTTCGATAATAAGGCAGGAAGCTAGTCGTGTGGCTGCAGATACTGGCATTGTTTAAGCTTTGGCACTGCTGCCTCCTCACTGAGGCTTAACAACTATGTTTCTCAAAGTGTAAAAACTCAGTAAGCATCTGCAGCCATACAAAGGTCCAATGCACCCTTAAGCGCCTCTACAAGATCTGTGATTGCAATAACAAGAGTTTTGGATGAGTGAGGATATGGCAGCTCTTTACTGGTGCTCCAGCTACAGTAAAGGAAGTGAATTAAGGAAAGACTGTTTCAGAAGTAGGTCATTTTTCCAAAGAGCTTGTATCAGTACAAACAACAGTCTTCTCTCATTACGACGAGAGGAATGTTTGCCATTTTCCACTGCCTTGTGTATTCCTCACTCTGTCCTGAAAAGCTACATTACCCCAGTCAGGCATACAGTATCGCGGTCTGAGATGCTTCACTGCTTAACTTAATTTGTCTGTGAGCCATATTTATTTATTTTGTCTTGTTCATTCTCTTTGGCATTTTAAAAACTGGGTGAGGGGCGGGTACGAGTAAAACTGTGGTTGACTGAAGTTTTTTTTTTACAGAATGTTTAGAACAAAACGTGTTATGCAAGGTCTTCTCCATTTTGATGTTAATCGTTTGCTGCACTTTTGCTAAGACATTTGCTGTGAGTGTGGTACTGTTGTGATTTGCAAAATCAGATAACTAAGGAGCACATTAAGATTTTCGGAGCTGTCAGTGCACGCTGTTCAAAGTGTTTTGGGGGAACTGAAGTTGACGGTTATACAAGCAGACATGCCTTACCATTTTTAAAAAAAAAAACTAAAATGGATTGCTTATTTGGCTTTTGTTACACATTCTTGTATACAGAAAATAATACAAAGGTAATAATAAACATTTTATTAAAAAAACGACTTTGTTTACTGTAGTTTTCTCTATTGTGTCTTCATTTATCATTGCTGTCCTAAAAGCGTTTTTAACTCCATTGTTCAGAATCTGAAAAAACAACCCTGTTCAGATCTCTTATTTTTTTTACAATGCTTTGTTCTAGTTGTACAAGTTTCAGCCTACCCTCTACAGAGGCTATAAAGAAAGTGTGCATTGGAAAAGACACATTGGATGTAAAAATATCAACTGATGTATGGAAAAATTGCTTGGGACACATTCATAACAGTTCTGTTTATGACAAGTATAGTCTAATCCAGTTCAAATTTTACTCAGATTATATTACTCCAAACTTCAAAAGCCTTTTTTCAGGTGTGTAATAAATTTCAGACAGCTGAAGCCCTGCAGAAAGCCACCTCAGTCAGTCCACCTAACTAACAGTTTTATTGCCAGGTATGTGTACACATACGAGGATTTTGACTCAGGATTGTACATTGCTCACGATGTGCTTACTTATACAATAATACCATAACACAATAATAAAATAATAATAAAATAAAATCAGACACAAACTACAGAATAGACAACACTAATATACACACTATGAACAAAACAATATAGACATATTGACAAATAATAGTGCAGTGATCAGAGTGCAAAGGATGCAAGAGTAAACTATTATTCTCATTATGTACATGTTGAAGGTGGATATGATATACAGGTACACATACACATACATGCATACATGTACACATGTACACAGTGTGATGGAGCATAGTGCAAAGGATGCTGGAAAAAATAAATAAGACCTATGACCTTATGACCTGAGGTAGGTTTATTGGTATACAGTATATACAATATGACATAGTATGAACAGCACTGAAATAGAGAATGGTGAATAAATAAATAATAAGTGGAAAACAGTAAACAGGTGGCTGATTAGAGGCAGAGTTAATGGGTTATTGCACAGGAATTGTTCCTGACACTGTGAGTCAGAAATCAGCTGTTCATCAGAGTGATGGCTTGTGGGAAGAAACTGCTTCTGTGCCTGTTGGTTTTGGTGTACAGTGCTCTGTAGCGCCTACCAGAGGGGAGGAGCTGGAACAGGTTGTGTCCGGGGTGAGATGGATCTGCAGTGATGTTTCCTGCCCGTTTCCTGACTCTGGAAATGTATAAGTCCTGAATGGAGGGCAGGTTGGCACCGATTATTTTTTCTGTACGTTGTAGTCTGCTCCTGTCCTTTTTGCTGGCAGATCCAAACCAGACAGTGATGGACGTGCAGAGAACAGACTGGATCATGGCTGTGTGGAACTGGATCAGCAGCTCCTTAGGCAGGTTGAGCTTCCTGAGCTGACGCAGGAAGTACATCCTCTGCTGGGCCTTCTTGATGATCGTGTCAGTGTTGGGCTCCCACTTCAGGTCCTGGGATATAGTGGAACCCAGAAACCTGAAGGATTCCACAGCAGACACAGGGCTGTTGAGTATGGTGATGGGGGGCAGAGTGGGGGGGTCCTTCTGAAGTCCACGGTCATCTCCACAGTTTTGAGCGTGTTAAGCTCCAGGTTGTTCTGACCGCACCAGAGAGCCAGCTGATCAACCTCTGGTCTGTAGACCGGCTCGTCACCGTCCCGGATGAGGCTGATGACCGTTGTGTCGTCAGCGAACTTCAGGAGTTTGACAGATGGGTCCCCTGAGGTGCAGTCGTTGGTGTAGAGGGAGAAGAGCAGTGGGGAGAGCACACACCCCTGTCTGGGTGCCGGATGTGATGTTTCCCAGTCTCACCTGCTGACTCCTGTCAGTCAGGAAGTCTGTGATCCACTGACAGGTAGAGGCTGGCACAGTGATCTGGGTGAGTTTGGTGCTGAGGATGTCCGGGATGATGGTGTTGAACGCCGAGCTGAAGTCCACAAACAGGATCCTAGGGTCCCTGGAGAGTCGTGGTGTTGCAGGATGTGATGCAGACCCAAGTTGACAGTATCATCCACTGACCTGTTAGCCCTGTAGGCAAACTGCTGGGGGTCCAGCAGGGGGCCTGTAATGTCCTTCAGGTGGGCCAACACCAGTCTTTCAAAGGACTTCATGACTACAGATGTCAGGGCGACGGGCCTGTAGTCATTTAGTCGGTTTTTTGGGACCGGGATGACTGTGGAGCGTTTGAAGCAGGAGGGAACTTCACACTGCTCCAGTGATTTGTTGAAGATCTGAGTGAAGATGGGGACCAGCTGGTCCGCACAGATTTTCAGGCACGATGGTGAGACACCGTCAGGTCCAGGAGCCTTCCTGAGTAAGCAGTTTTACAGTTGCAGCTAATTACTAAAAAAAGCTGGGTTGTCTACAGTGAAGCGGTGACATGCAAAGACAACCCGTTCCTGGACAAAAATCCATGTCTCCAAATTAAACAATCCCATGTCCAGAAGCGTTTGTTGATCTGACGCCCCTATCGGCTAGACAACGTCTGTGCCTTCTAAAACCATTACAAGTCCCTGTTGATGTGATAACACTATTGTTAAGGAAGTGGTTAAGTTTAGGGAAAAACTGTGGCTTGAATTAAAATGACTACTTCTTTAAGGTTTGGGGCCTTCTTTGTCATCTTACAATAATAAACAAGTAGTTAAGGTAAGAATGATTGTGATCATGCTTTGCCGTGGTGTCTCACACCACAAACATTTGTGGGTAAAAAAAGTCTCAAACGTCTGTAGCAGGCATAAGGTATAGGGGGTGAAGTATAAAAAAAATGATTCCAAAGAATAAATTGAGTCTTTTTTTCTTTGATATTCGTGTCACATAGCCCACATATGCAGTGATCATTGCTGGGTAATATGTGTATGGCTGCCCAATCTTAAGTTTCTATGTGATCATGTGACAAGACTCCAGAGACCAAGTGAAACGCAAAATCTGACAAGTAGACTAGCAGAGCACACATGCAAGCTAGCAGTCATGCCATTCAAACATAAAAGTAGTTTTAAGAAGAGACGGGAGAGAAAAGAACAGGAGGAGAGGGTCCCAAAGCGCGTGTGTATTGGAGAGAGACGCACACAAAGAGAACTGTTGAATTTAATATGGAAAGAAATCGATTTAAGTAGCTTTAAATTAAGCAGGTTAGGTATTTATTGCCTGCGATGGACTGGCGACCTATCCAGGGTGTACCCCGCCTTTTGCCCGATGTCAGCTTGGATCAGGCTCCAGCCCCCCGCGACCCTGTACGCAGGATAAGCGTTGACGATGGATGTATGGTGTTTACTGCATCTAATATTATCAGTTGTTAAACCGTGCACAATGATGAAACAGACACGAACGCTGTGTGTGTGTGTGTGTGTGTGTGTGTGTGTGTGTGTGCGCGCGCGCTTCGTAACTGTGGAGCCCAAGGGCCCATCATAACAGCCTGCACTGGGGCCCGTTTTACTACCTTACGCTACTGGTTTTCATGATAATATAAAGTGGCTCTAACCCTGAAGTGAGTGTAATATAATGTAGCTGAAGGGTTGACACTTCACAATCACTTAGTAATTAACATCTTTACAAAGCGACTTGCTGTGCAGTTTATCTTCTAAAGCAGAGATTTGGCTAGCACTTTAAGAAACCCTCTGGAGAATTTCGATACATTTCATAGCTTTTATATTTAAATAGTTTGTGCTTTTTATTTAAAATGACCTTGTACTTCATTGAGAATTGCTGAGTGACAGCGGTGAAATTCGTTCTGTTTAAGCTATATGAGATCTATGAATACTTATGGTGGCAGATTGCGTGAAAACATTGACAAAAAAAATATGATTATTTGAGGCAAGACTATAATGCAAAACACCAAATTTCTCTCCACTACAACAGCAGATTATAGGTGCGGTCCGTTTTAGACGGAGTGATGAGAAGCTGAGCCAATACATTTCCAGGCTAAATTACAGACTGCTGCTTATGAAATGGATCTCTCTCTTTGAAAGAATTATTACTGCATGAAAACTAATGAACTCTAATGAACGCTAATAAAAGAAACAGCCTCTTTCATGTCTTGTCTAATTTGCATCATCTCAAGTCCTCCACTTCTCTCACCTATTTTGTTCTCTCCTCACAAATTACTTTGAACTTTAAGAACAAAAAAAAATTCGGTGGTGATATATTTTGAGACTTAATGTGGCACTGTTGTACAGTTCAACTGAATGAAAAGTAATATTGTAATACACTGAATTTGGGTTGAATTACATGCTCAAATCTACTGTCTATATATATAAATATTGCTGTCCATTTTTATCAATGCTCTTTTTAATGTGGGTAATTACATTTCTACCATCTATTTACCCATAGTTACATTTTCTTCTAACATGCATGTGTTAGAATATTTGCAGCATGTTACAGATGCTCAGTGCACAAATGAAGACATCCCCTCCCCCACCAAAAGCTTAAGTGAAAGAAAACAGGTAGTGTCAGTTGTTGAACTTGGCTCAGGGTCACGTTTTAGTCAGTCAAGGGAAGCAGCAGAACGTCTGGCAGACAGAGAAGACAAAGACGAAAAAGCTCACTGCAATGCCACATTCAATACATCTCAGTAGGTCCCCCAAACATCCATTTATTCATTTTCACATGACAACAGCAATGGGGACCAGACGAAACTGCTTCACATCTGAACTAGAATTATTCATTAGAATCTCTCTTTCTGTCTGAACAATTATTTATGTGCTTCAATTATGGAAAAGCAGAGTGAAAGGGCCAAACTCCAGACGAAATACAAAAATTTTATGGATTTCAAAGGCGGAGCGGAGTTTTTTTTCTATGGGATCTACTTGATAATTTTCAATTGCTTTTGGCAAACCCCGTGACTGTATAAAGAATTAAGTCTGCTTCACTGTAGCGTTAGAGAAATACAGTATGGGTGCAGCTCCACAATCTGATGTGCAAGAAAACCACAAAAAATAATAATTGAAACCATTTGTTCTGAGCTTTATCTTTTCATTCAGAATGTTAGAATAACTTTTACATAACAGGGCATTTTTAGAATTCTACTAACTTTGGTGATTAGTAGTTTCTGTTGCCGTTTCAG